TTGAGAGAGCGAGAGAGAGAGAGAGAGAGAGAGAGAGAGAGAGAGAGAGAGAGAGAGAGAATGTCATTGTAAATTATATGTGCGTGCGTGCGTGTGTCATCAAAAACTTATAATTATTTTAATAATAGGCATGATCTGGAAGTAATCCAGAAAAAGTTGAGACATTTAGGCTTGATTAAGCAGAAGGCTACTGATAGGCGATTGCTTTCCTCTATTGAAAATTTTAACAGGTTTTTTCTCGTACGCTTAGCCAGTTCATGGCCTTGACAAATATCATTTATCTTGGTGAGGAGATCTATTAAGATTCTAAATTGTATTGGAATATTATAATACTGCAAGGACATTTGCACAACATTGCAACCTAATAAGTCTGTTGCAGTCGAATGCGATGGTGTCTGACGTAATCTCATTTCGATGGCTTGTGTCTTGTATGTACTAACACATATTTGCAATTACAGTTTGCAAAATGGAATCTTTCGTGGATTATGGAATCTGCTACCATTAGTCCTCTACGCAAAGTCAGTATTCTTCTGATCTTGGGGACTACAGACCAATTTTGATTTTGTGTTCCTTCTCAAAGGCACTCGAGTGTATTGTTGCCGAGTAAATCACTCGGTTTATTGAAAGCCACAATTTGTATCCATACCAGTTTGTATACAAAAAAGGTCTTTCTACTCAATCGGTATCACTTACCTTCCTGGATGATGTCAGACGCGCAGCTCTAGAAAATTTATAATCTCGGTCTTCTTTGATTTTACAAAAATGTTCGATAATGTCGAGCATCACGTTTTAATATAGAAACTTAGATGTTTAAACTTTTCTACTTTGTGCTAGATATATGATTATTTGATTCAACAAAGACAGGCTGTTTCAAGGATCCGATTATTGAAGATGTTTCATCTGAGATTATCAACAAGGGCGTTCCTCAGGGCTCTGTTTTATTTTTGACCGTCTATTATTTTTATCGCATCTAAGTGACTTCAGTTATTTACCGTTAAACTATAAATATATTCTTTTTACGCTGATAATCTGGGAGTCTATTTTTGAAAAGAAACGTATACAAAAGTCTAGGAAAATGCTACAGTATACATTATGTATAGTTGTATATAGTATTTTTATATTGTTGTACTATAGTATTTTTTCTAGTTTTTTGTATACGTTTCTTTTCAAGAATAGAGCCCCTGCTCATTTACACACACACTAAGTCTAAAAACTTATCCAATACTATTTGCAGTGTAAATGAAGATATTAACAGAATCTTGGACTGGACGAAAATTAATTTGACAATAAATTTTAAAAAGACTACTGCAATGATGTTGGGTATTGTAAGATATAATACATCATTACCATTAGTATCTCATACGACGAACTTCTAAACATTATACTTTTTGTTAGTCGGTAATTCCTTGATATCATACAATGATTCTGTCAAGTACTTTTTATCAATCTCTAGAATACTTTTGTAGAATTTGCAAGTAACTAGAATAACTTCTAAAGATAATGCATCTTTTTTATTAATTGAAGACATATAAAGATCTTATTCTCCAAGATCTCTTCATATTAAGCAATATATTTTTTTCCAATTTTTTATTATTGCTACATTGTCATGACCAATATTACTGGTGAACTAGATCTTAAATTCCAAAGAGCAAAGTAATTTGTGTATTAGATATACATATATTTCTGATTAAGCGGGATGAGCATGTTTCTCCATATTTCCGCGATTTTGGATGGCTCAAGGTAAAAGCGAGACATATATTTCGTGGATCTAATGTTTTCCATTCTTTCATCGGGCTTACTTAAGGCTCTTTATCTTGACTTTTAAGAAGAATTATTCATCGCCGCATAAAAACTCCTAATGATTATCCGTCTATCGATTTGTCGAATAGTTTTTCAAGTGTTCTTTTAGCTGTGCTGCCTCTTTGTGTGATTTTAAATGTAAATTACAAAATCATTTATTAAGTGTAAATGCATGATTTGTAGTATCTATCTATTTTATTTTAATAGATTTTTTATCTATTGTATCTATAATATGCTTGTACTTGTGTATACATTTGTTTTAATTTTGCTTGTTTTTTTTTGTTACTTTGTTGCTCACTTATTTACGGTTTTAGCACTTAAAAAAATCCAATTTTGGAGCATTCAATAAATGGTGATCTCTCTCTCTCTCTCTCTCTCTCTCTCTCTCTCTCTCTCTCTCT